CCTAACTGACTATATTGTATTTTAGTTTAATATAGTTTGAAACCTAGTAATTTCCATCGAAGTTTACATATGTATGTATGTATGTATGTATTTATGTATGTATGTATGTATGTATGTATATATTTATGTATGTGTGTATGTATGTCTGTATGTATGAAGGAATGTATGAATATAGGTATGTATGTATGTATGTATGTATGTATGCAGGTATGTATGTATGTATGCATGTATGTATGCATGTATATATTTATAAATGTATGTATGTATGTATGTATGTATGTATATATGTATGTATATAAGTATATATGTATGTATGTATGTATGTATGTATGCATGTATGTAAGTATGTATGTATGTTTGTATGTATGGATATGTGTATGTATTTACGTATGCATGTATTTATGTATGTATTTATGTATTTATGTATGTATGTATGTATGTATTTATGTATGTTTTTATGTATGTATGTATGTATGTTTGTATGTATGGATATGTGTATGTATTTATGTATGCATGTATTTATTTATGTTTTTATGTATGGATATGTGTATGTATGTATGTACATATGTTTGAAAGTATGTTAGTAAGTAGGTATGCATGAATGTATGTATTTATGTGTGTATGTACGTATGTATCTATGGAAGTATGTAAGTATGTAAATATGTAAGTAGGTATGTATGTAAGTATGTATGTATGTATGTATGTACGGATGTATGTATGTATGTATGTATGTATTCATATATGTATGTATGTATGTATATGTTCATATATGTATGTATGTATGTATGTAGTATGTATGTATGTTTGTATGTATGTATGTACATATGTTTGGAAGTAGTATGTATGTATGTATGTTTGTATGTATGTATGTACATATGTTTGGAAGTAGTATGTATGTAAGTAAGTAGGCATGCATTTATGTTTGTATGTATGTATGTATGCATGTATGTATGTATGTATATATATATGTATGTATATAAGTATGTATGTATGCATGTATGTTTGTATGTATGCATGTATATATGTTTGGAAGTATGTATGTATTTATGTACATATGTTTGGAAGTATGTAATTATGTAATTAAGTAGGTATGCATGTATGTATGTATGTATGTATATATTCATATATGTATGTTTGTATGTACGGATGTATGTATACATATATATATATATATATATATTATATAGATATAGATATAGATATATATATATATATATATATATATATATATATATATACATACATAAGTTGCTGCGTGTGGATATTTAGCCTCCGCACACTAGCGTTCAAATGCATAAACTTAATCGAGGACAACTAGCACACAATGAAACCAATCGTCAATTGTTGCCAGTATTGACTGTTCTATTTACCTTCACTGGGTACAACATAAAGATTTCACTAAAACGAATTTTCCTGGGAAGAAATATACGGGCATGTCCTAGCTACGTTCTTGACTAGTACTTTTCGAGTTGTGATACCCCACAAAAGAATAACACCCTTTTACGATCGGACTGAGCTGCTTTAATATCGTTATATCATTGACTTTATCTGTCTAATAGTCTACAGGAATCGTAGGTCTACAGCATACACATGTAATGCATGCTAAGTAAATTCTACGGTATTTGCGACGATACGAATCATCCCCTGTGTTTCTCATTCAATCCATGCCTGCTGGCCTAATAAAATATTTTCAACATAAATTTGGATGCTGGTCGACTGTTACCTGCATATTACCGAAGCGCCAGTAATTTGGCTTATCCTAATTTAATTTCGGAGTGTGTTTCTTCTCCCATTCATTCGTTTCATCCCTCATTCTAAATTTAGGTCTGCACACTATTCACCCCACTGGTCTTTCCCCTGGCATTACCGGTCATTCACACCGGAATTTAAATTTGGGTTTGTATTCTATACACCATTTGCCCGAGCCATAAAATGCTCAGATTCCGAGGTTTCACCCATTTGGATTCTCATTTCAGCATCAGAATAGGTACACTGGCCGCACACGTCAAGTAGCGAACTTTGTGACCGTCCGTTGCTTAGGGACCAAAATAGCATTGAAAAATGCCCAGTTCGCTGTAAGCCTCTGTTGCACTCGACGCTGTGTACCCCTTGGATTGTCATGCATTCCGGCCACTGACACGATGATGTTTCTACTGACGATTTCATTTGGATTTAGGTGTGGATTATTTCCACTGCCGATTTAAATTTGATCAGGTGAAGTGAACTGTTCACGGCCGATTCCGATTTGATCCGAGGCGTGGTTCGATCGAACTTCCGTCGCAGCTCGGTCGATTCCTATGCCGGTTATTAGCGAAACCTACAGTTGATCCCGATTACTACTTGCAGCACCTATCGTCTGTCGCTGAGCTTTCGACCACGAAATCAGAATGCCATAAACTCGCGTGAAATGTGTAGGCACAAACAGCAGGTTTTCGCCTGGAACAACATGATACCCGTGCCAAAACCGAGTCTTCGACAGCCCCAAACCCCTCTATTTGAGCCTCAATAGAACGAAGTCGCGCACTATTTAGCCTTCAAGGGTCACTACGGTGGTTCGCATCAAACTGTGTACATAATTTTCTTAGATGCTGCTGCGTTTAGGGCCGTGGCTGTATCCACTTCAGAGCTTATAACCGAATGGACGTCCGAATGCCCCACGTCAACGGACCCTGGTGAGGTTTTACTGAGCGCAGCTGAGGTGTTGGCCGAATCGTCATCCAAGTCAACTTTAATGATAGCTTCGTCGTTGTTTCCGAAGACGAAGGTGTTGTCGTAGTTGTGGGCCGATTTCTTGCGGTGACTGTGTAGGATCTGGGAGGGTTTGGAAACAGCGGAGGCGTACTGTTAAGCTTGGAATACGCACACAAGCCATATTGGAAACCACCATTTAGTGCTTGAATTTACTTCAGTTTGTATACTCTTAGATGAATATTGTGTGCACTTGTGGATATGTTTTCTTATCTATGTAGTCCTATTATGCAAGTTACTTCGAAAAAGACTTTGTAGTGTTTTGGGTCCCGGATTCAACCTTATTTATAGTCCAAGTAGATGTGACATCGACGTGCTAGACACAGAGTGTGGGGTATATTGCATACTTGTACATTGATCCGAGACAAACCAAGACAGTCATACCAATGTGACATACTCAACTAACTAAGGATGTACCTACAAGAGATCACATATCAACTATTGCTTAGTGCATAGACTCCAGCAACAACCCTAACAACCCGAATACCTATTTCCTGCAACAGAGGTACTACACTATCAGAAATCCGAGTAACTACTCTACATCATGTCTACCACCCGCACCATACCTGTTGGTGGTCGTTTGGTAAGCCGGATATATCATCAGAACCCACATATATCATTGGCTCATCTTCCCCTCTGTTATCGGACGAGAAATCGAGTGAGCTGTTCTCAGCTGTTTGGTTTGAGTCGCCTCTGTATATACTGTTCTTTCGGCCAGGCCTTAGTACTGTGCGGCCGTCTTCCAGTGTCTGATATAACCGCACGTATATAAGGTCAGAAACGCGTTTCGAAATACATACATAAATATATAAAGGACTAAGTTTAAGCAGGTGTTCACAAATATGAAGAATCCTGATCATATGGGTGTATATACACGAACACACGCATTCTACCACGGGTTGAAAATAGGCACTAACAATATATGTATATATATAAATATATAAATACATATATACAAAGATACAGTGCTAAACAATCATAACAGAATCGAAATACAAGGTACAATATAGACGAGTTTTGCAAACACACCTGTGGTCTAACGGCAGTAGAGCAATGAGGAATGAAGAGAGAGGCAAAATTATACTCAAGAGATTCGAAATCTGGCCTTTTTTCGGGTACAATCTCCCAACACGAAGCCATGACCTCATAAGCATCCTGAAAATACAATCGGGATAAGAAGTACAAAGCTTTAGCGTGTGGGTTGTCCAATACTGTTAACGTTCATGTGAAGTTGAAGTTGAGCGCAGGCGTGTATGTCTTCCAATCTGAGTAAATCCATCGCAGCGGTTGTCACATATGTTCGATGCAGATATGTCGACATTGGGATACAGACCTTTATATAAAACTTTAATACGTACCTTTGGACACTGTTCTGGCTTCTTCAGCCTGCCCCCGCTTTGTAGATATGACAGTATGGTGTAAATGGTGAATTCTCGGTATGGGACTTCCTCTGCATCGGAGAAGATCTCCCAAAGGGTAACCCCATACGACCACACATCGCTGTATGTCGAGAACCGACCCTATACGAATTCAATGTTGTGAGATACAGATACGCATACAGTTTTTGTACATTAGCGATAAACATATAGATATATAGTGGTGCGTGGTATACAGAAACGGATGCACTTCAGTCGGTAGCAACATAACATGTGTACATAGTCACAGATATTGACAAATATAAATACACTATCACATATTCAGACATATACGCACGCATAAAACTTTAGGAATACGATTGCTTATACACCTACGGTGTAATTTGTAACATGTGAATATACATGGACATGGTGGTTATGCATAGGACTGCAAATACAAGTGTGGCAGAACATGTGATGCATAAATGAACATACGCTTGCACAGACGTACCTCAAACAACGCACGCGGACTAGACCATCGGAAGGGCAACGGAGTGGGCGATTCCACCACGTAACAACTGTTCTCCACGTTCATAGTACGCGACAGTCCGAAATCTGCTACTTTCAGCGTAGGGTATCCGAATGTGTTCTGTTTCCGCAGATATTAGAAAGCAGGATAAAGGTGGTAGCTTAATGACTATGCACATGTTCATCCGGATGTATTATGTTTATAACAATTACACAGCACACCTTGCAGGAGTAGATGGGGAGATTATTGAGATGTTGTACCTCGCTAGCCCATAAAACACTATACATTTTCGGGTACATCCAGACTTCACGCACGTTGGACATCTATATTGCCGCGGGTGTGCATATATATAGGAGCTTTAAGGTTATACGATACCTATCATGCATGTTTTATGCATCTCAAAATGACACTCATATGCATATATGACGTACATAATATAATAATATATACAACAGGTGTTGCTCTGATATGGATGTATTGATGTATATACACAAAGTCATTAGGTTTTCTCCAAGCCTCGCACGAGCACAGCCAATTCCCCCGTACGCTATCTTGCGATGGCTATACGTGAGTGCTATCGCGCACTATAAATACCATGTTTGACAGCGTCAACATGCAGTTACGCGTAGCCAGATCTCGGTGAACTATGCCTTGGCTCGCCAAGTAGGACATTCCGCTCGCGATTTGATACGACAGATGGTACTTCTCCCCTACAGTGATTGGCTCATCCCGATCGAATCTGTGTCATGGACCATATGTATAGAGTTCAGAGATGAATGACAAGTTATCTGAATATACGGGTGTAGTATGCA